AAATGCTTGATACTTCCTTTTGTGGATTGGTTCTGAGTTAATTCCATCTTTGAAGGGAACTTGAAACTGAGACTAGTTTGAATGTGCAGGTTTTTGTCTATGATCACTTTTTGCTACCATTGAAATATCATGGGGAGCACAAGATGAAGGCAGTACTTCATCTAGAATGGAAGATAACTGCCAAGAAAGCAGCTTTGGAGAAAAAGATTTGGGTGTCCTGGTGGACAAGAAGTTGAACAGGAGTTAGCAGTGTGCTTTTGCAGCAAAGGTGGCCAGCTGCATCCTGGACTGTATCACAGAATGCTTGAGGTTGGAAGGGACCTCTGAAGGTCATCTTGTCCACACCCCTGCTCAAGCTCAAGCAGGGTCACCTGGAGGAGGTTGTCCAGGACCATGTCTGTTTGAGTTTTGAGTATCTCCAATGATGGGGACTCCACAGACTCTCTGGGCAACCTGTTGCTACATTAACATGAGTGTAGCCAGCAGGTCAAGGGAAGTGATTTCTGTGCCCTGCCCCCCCTCCTATGCTTCTGAGACCACATCTGGAGCACTGTGTCCGGTTTGGGATTCCACAGGATGAAAGGTGTTGACATACTGATGCAAGTTCAGTGGAGAGCTACCAAGATGTTTAGGGGGCTGGAGCACATGACATAGGAGGACAGGCTTGGGAGACCTTAGTTTGTTCAACCTTGAGAATGCTAAAGGGGGATTACGTAACTATCAGGAGGGTATAGAGAGGACAAAGTTGGACTCTTCTAAGAAGTGCGCAGTGGAAGGACAAGAGGCAACAGACACAACTTGAAAACAAGGGGAAACTTGATTGAGACAGAAGGAAAAGCTTTTTTTCTGTGAGGGTGGTGAAATCCTCCAGAGAGGTTTTGGAATGCTCATCCTTGGAGATGCTCAGATTTGACTGGACAAGATCCTGCGCAAGCAGGTCTGGACCTGTGTTGAGCAGGAGGTTGCAGTTGATCTCTGGAGGTTCCCTCCAGTCTACATGATTCTGTGATTTTGTACTTCTGAAACAAAGAAGGAAGCAGTGGTGTTTCAAATAGAGTCATGAAGTTTTGTATTTCTTTGTTCCCTCTTTAGTTAGTAATGAAGATTCTGGTATTCTTTATTCTGTTTTTCTCTCTACCAGTGAAGTTCGTTCTTTTCTCTCCTGACCATGAAATGCCAACAACATTGACACAGCTTTACATTTTTCTTGATTTATTTTCTGAACACCCACTTTTCCTTGAGGATGGTTAAAATATTAAATTAAAAAGAAAAGTCTTCTGTAGTAAGAAGATGAGAACAGCTGTTCTGGTTCAGATCAGGGGTAGAGACTCCTGCAGTGTATGTAAGTGGGTATGCAAGGAAGAGTCAGAACAGAGCAGGTACTTCCGATATTTTCCCCTGAGCATTCTCTTAGTTTCTGACTCTCTAGAGGTCAGGGGATCTCTTGAACTTTTTGCAATGTTCCTGTATGCTATTCTTAGTGACTCTCTTGAGTAAGTGCTTGTCCAGTCTCCTTGTGAACACATATAAGCAGTTTTTCCATCCATTACATTCTTTGGTAAGAAGTTCTGCTAACCTGCGGTTTCTTATGTGAAGAGCTGCCTTCTGTTGTTTGTTTTGAAATTTCTTCTGTTGATATTCATATGATTTCACATAGTTAATATTAGAAGAGACAATGAACAGTTGATCCACAGTGCCCAACTTTATACCATTTTTGTCATTATCCCCTTAAGTTATCTTGTTTCCAGGCCAAAAATCCTTACCTCATAAGAATGCTCTTCAACCCTGTAGTTCTCCTTAGTTTTAGTGAATCTTCTGTTTATTTATTCCAGCTAGAAGGGTAGTTCTAGGGAAAGGATTCTCAAATCTTGCTTTTTCTACAGAATTAAACTAATACTGCAGATTCTTAGAGATGAAAGACAACATGTTGTGATGAATGTGAGAGTAGAAATGTAAACTACCTGAGAACCTTGGGAAGAGAGAATCTCATCTGGAAATTTGACACTTAAGATGTCCCTGCTTACTGCAGGGAGGGTTGGACTAGATGACCTTTAAAGACGCCTTCCAACCCAAACTATTCTGTGATTTCTAAGAACATATTCTTGGTTTGCATTATGGCTATCTGAAAACATACGGGATATATCGCACAGTATGAGGTTCTCTGATGTTGTCAATGGAGGAAGCCTTTGAGTTAGACTATTAAAATAAATGTTTGAGACACCTGTATAATGCTAATTGATGAATACTTTCAGGTATACTTTAATTTTTTTTATAATAATGTTGTACTCCTTGGTTTTTGAATGGTTTTAATATGCAAACTTAAAAGTTTAAGGAGTGCTGACAAAAGTAATAAAAATGCAGGAAAAAGTTGAGCTTGAAGGAGATGATTACGAGGTTTTGGGAGCAATAAATCTGAAGAGGTTTCAGGCCTTTGAATTTTTTTTCTTCACCGGTGTCCTGTCTCCTTTAAACTTCTAATAATGCAAAAAACACTCTTCTTAGTTGCTGTGACAAGAATAAAGTGAGAGCTTTCCTATTACGCTTTTGTTTCTATCCACAGAATCATCTGCATCCTTGCCATGTATTTTGGAAATTCATGTTCTTTGTAGTGTTGATAATTTAGGTCTAGGTTTGCTAGGTTATTACTAGATATTGGTAAAGGTGGTTCTTGTTGCTTTTAGGTCTGAAAGATCTAGGGTGAAATCAGTAAACCACTCCAGTATTGCAAGCATATTTGAAATTCAGGAGTGATGGACATGCTGCTGCACTGTACTTTGTGTGCATGATCCTTTCTTGACATCAGTTAAATGATGAGATACTTGAGATGCTGGTTAGCAAAAGCTATTTCTATTTTCAAGGGATTTTTGTTGAAACATGTATAGTCTGTTGACACAATGAATCTTTTCTGATTATGCTCTGATCAGTTTACTATAAGTTCATTTATTATAATCTGTATTTTCATTTTCCTGTCTCTTGAAGTCATCATGGCCTCAGTTTGATTTCCCCCACCCCCCCACCCCCTTTTTCTTTCTGACCTAGAACTTGTGAAAGTTTCGCTTACCTGTGCATTGTTTTCTGATCATATTCGTGAACGTTCTTTGTTAAGCTGTTTGTCAGCATATTTGCATCAGTGCTTCCAGATTAACATTTTGGTTTATTCTAGAGGTACAAAGGCTATTTGTGCATGCAGGTTTTTTTGATGGTTGTTGTCCATTAAGCTTGTTCCAAGAAGCCAAGTCCTTTGTGTTCTGACTGGCGATATAACTTGAAGTATTCTTGATGTCCTGCTTTTGTCTATTAGCCTGTCAGAGGAGATAAATGTATATTGGAAGAATAGCTCCAACTCACAGAACAGTGTAATTACTGCATTTTGGTCTTGGTACTCAGTGTGAATTTTGTCAATATTGTGGCTGATTAGGAGATTATTAGGTGCTGGGTAACATTTTAGGCAAACAGAAAAAAAATGAAATAAGATGGGAAGGAATCCTGGAGTGTCTAAAATACCCTCCTTTAGGTAGGAGATTGGTATCTTGACACATACTCCTTTTTGGAGAAATCCACAGCAAAGGTTTCATCAAAGCAACATGCGGAAATTGTGAAGTTGTATGGTATTTTGAAATGTTGCTGGTCTCTGCAAGATGCTACACCCAATTTGTGGTAGACGCATGTGTATTTACGTTTTTATGTACGTGTTTTTAATCTAGGGAAAATGATACATGTTATAAAACTAAGTTTCTTCTCTGGCTGCTTTTAAGACTGGATTTGGCTAGTTTTCAAATGTAAGTAGTTAAAGATAGGAAGAGCAAAGATGCACTGAGGCTTCTGTTACTCTGAATGAGGTGAAACGCGTATGAAATGTGCTTTGCCTTTTCTTCCCCCTTCAGTCCTTGAGAAGAGGGAAAGAGGGAGAGGTAGTGCCAAAATTATCGCTCAACAGAAGGGAAGAAATCTTAAGTGCCTAAGTGTCAGTAGGGTATTTTCTAATACTTAATGAGAGAGTGTGTCTGACAGGAGACTCGTTGCTGTTCAGGTGAGGAATTCTTTGTGATCACTGTCAAAACCATGATACTATTTCTATGGGCAAGGAAGGTGTCTAGACTTTTTTTTCTGAAACTTGCTTTACAGCGCTTAAGATATTTGCCTAACTGAAGTGTGTAATACATGTAAGCAGATCAGAAGTATTGATTTTGTGTGTTGACTGTGTCATTGGTATTTCTGCTTGGTGCGACTTTTCTGTGCTTTTTATAGAACATTTGTTCCCTTCTGTGGAAAACTGTTGATTGACTGACTGCTGCATTTAGAGATGTCAAAATTGAGACTGTTACCAGTTTCACGGAGTCACAGTTCCTCATTGGATCCAATGAGGAGCATAGGAACTCTGCAGTGTGTTTCTTCTGCCTGGAGGACTGGAACTAGGAGAGTTGAGATGTTAGAGGTTCTCCCAACAGTGCTGTTACCAAGAAACTGCTACTCCTAACTCATACTTGATAATATTAAGGATGTTATCATTTGGAGAGTACAGATTTTTTTTGAAGTTTAGCACCATTATTTATCCTTCATCTTTGCCATGCCAGACTCATGTTCCTTTTCTTGCAACCATTGTCCCATCAACAAGGAGAGAGAGACAGTGTTGTTTCAAACTCTCCAACTCAGCAGGACTTGCTGTATACTCTTACTACAGTTCACAGTTTGCAGATGGTGGGGTTTGGGGTTTTTTGTTTGTTTGGGTTTTTTTGAGGGGTGTGTGTTTGGTTTTTGTCTTTACACAGAAGTTTAGTTTTAGCTAGCTTCCCCCCAGAGGTAAGAGACCCAACCATAGCGCTGAATGCTCTTGAGAGGGTGATCATGAGAGTTAGTTAATATAGGAAGGTTCTGATGGGGGAGCAAATTGCAGAAGTAAATAAATAAGTTTTCCTCTGTGTTTGTTACACCATAATTTAAAACCAAAAGCCAAACATAGTCTTAACTAATGCATTGTTTTGCTTTGTTTTATGTTTTAGAAATATGGCAAATTAACATCTTGTACTGGCTGCAGAGCTCAGTGCAGGTTTTTTGACATGACTCAGTGCATAGGACCTAATGGATATATGGAGCCATACTGCTCAACTGCATGCATGAACACACACAAATCAAAATATGCAAAATCACAAAGTAAGTGAAAAGGATGATGGATTTTCATCACTGATAAGAGTAGACTTTTTTTTTAAAGTTTGAACACTGGGGGTGGGTTGTTTTGTTTTATTTTAGGATTAATCTATGCAGATATGACTCTATAGGTTTTTAAACTTATTTAAAAAAATAAAGAAAAATATCATCTTACATTCAACATTACTAAATGGACCCATGAGGGGTCATTTTTCCCCACTGGCCTTTTTGCTTGATGTTGGAAACAGTTTTTAACCGTCTTAATGCTCCTGGGGAAAAAATGTTGAGACATAATGTGCTCTGATGTGTCACAGAATGATAGTGCAATTTTCATGCATGTGAATTAATAATTCTTTTGTCTGTGATCCAACCCCACCCGATTTTATCTCAAGCAACAACTGGAGAAGGATAGAGGTGGCTGTAATGGATATTCTCTAGGTAAAAATCTGGGTGAAAGGAACTGGTAAATAGCTCAAAATGTGTTCTTCAGTATACAGAGCAAGCACAGATCTCAATTCAGCAAACTCAAAGTTCAAAATGCTCTAGTGAATTTTATAGAAGGTGGTGCTATTTCATATTTAATGCTGATCTTTAGTGGAAGAATTCAGCAAAACCTCTGCAATTTCTTTTATGTGACTTGTAGAAGCTGACTGGAAAACAGCCAGATTAGCTTAGCTTTTTACATTGAAATGGTGGGAAGAGCTGACCTGTAATCCAGTATTTTTTTTTTGCGCTACTATTTTGTGTTTATTTTGTTTGTAAACTACGTTTTTCCTTTTAGGTATGGGAATTATTTGCCACTTTTGTAAACGAAACTCTTTACCTCAGTATCAAGCCACAATGCCTGATGGAAAACTGTACAACTTTTGCAGTTCCAGTTGTGTAGCTAAATTTCAGGTTAGCTGTTGTGTTAAATCTTTTCCTCCCTAACTATTTGTGTACCTGTGTTTGTGTTAAGTATTTGCATATTAAGCTAACTTGCTTGTATATACATGTTTATGAGTTATAATTAACATAGCAGGTGCTTCTGGCTCAATAATTTCTTTGAACAAAGTACTCTTTCATAATGATAACATTAGCTGCTGTCTTAAACTTAGAAAATCAGGTAATAACAACCCATTTCTCCTTGGTACTGTAAGGAAAACACAAAGCAATATCACTGCTTATCTTATTTTTACCACCCCAGCCTCTTTATGGAGATAAGCCTTGCTGTTTTGCATTGAGGGTCAACAAATTTAATCTCTCTTATACTAAATACAGTAACAAAACCCTGATGTTGAATATTGTCCTAACGAAGGTGTGTCATAGGGAATAGTGACTGTCTCTGAAATGAAAGGTTAGAGGCTAAGCCATTAGAACATTTATGGATGAAACTAGCTGTTTAAATTATGTCCAGAAACCGGAGTGTTGCAAGCCTAATGATAGGCACACTGGAAGAGGGTGCTACGCTTTTTGAAAATGTCATATTTTTAATATGACTTAAGGTTAAAGCATATGTAAAATCTGTTGTAGTGATTAATCTCTAGATGATCAAAGAACATTTTTAAAGAAAATGTTTCAGTTTTTGCATGTAAAAACAGTTTTCCTAGATGTGCGCTGTGTAATTGACAATTGTCTTCTCATGTGTTGTTGAACAGTTACACCCATACAGGGTTTTCCCATTTGTCATTAAACTTTGCTGTTTTGTGTCAACTGGAAAGGAAATCAATCTCTTAATTGCTTCCTTAATATACCATCTCTTAATTGCTTCCTTAATATACCCTGGATGGGACCTCCATCATGTAGCCCTGTTCTGTGCTTCCATCCTAACCAATGTAGTAGATGTCTGTCAGTGGAACTGGTTAACAGAACAGGTGCAGATTGTTAGTATGTAATGACGAATCTGTAGTACTTCTTGCAAATTCATTCGGCATCTATTTTATTCTACGTGGTCTTATAATTGATTGCAGCCCCAAGAGCTCTCAGAACAAAACCTTTCTGCTATTTGAGTGAGGAAAAATAAAGCTAGTGAATGACAAATACAGCCTGGGCCTTCTTGGATTTGCAGATAAGTCAACATTAAGCAACATTATTAAATATAACTGCTGGATCAGTTGATGCTGGTTGTGAGTTTCTGATCTTACTGAGACCTTACTGATGCTTCTGTTGCAGTTTCAGTGTTACATGTAGATCTGTCTCTTTAATGTTATAGTGGAGTTTGATTAGAGCAGCCATACAGTCCTGAGTTCTCAGTGAAGACCAAGAATGGGTAGGTGGTCACTTGCTTACAGTTAGTGTGCTCAAACATCTCTGTCAGATTCTGAATCTTGATAGTTTTCATATATTCACTGTCTAGAATAAAAAAGTGTATTCACCATTTGATAAGAGTTGATTGTATGATAACAGCTTCTTTGTTCCGTTCATTTGGTAGTGAGATGGAAAGGATGGTATACCACAGTGTGAGCAAGTGTTCCCTTGAGGCTTTTTTTATATCTAAGTGACACATAAGGGATCGAACCTAAATTGAGAAAATGGTTTAATCCATTCAGTCAACTGCAATGTTTTCTGCAATGATCTTTTGAAAAAATGGCTGATTTACTATGGTGCTCCATATTTTTCATTGTTTACTAATGCAGATAACGTGTTTTAATTTTCTGGCATTATATTAATCTCTTTTTCTTACTGTGCCCGTTCTTCCTATATGTTTTTCTTTGTGAGGGTTTACCCTTCTCAGAACAGAATAACTGCTGTTTCAGATCTGTCTCTCTCTCCTGCAAAAAATTTAGTCCTTTTGGTTTACAAATGGGTTGGAATATTTAAATTCCCAATTTGTTTACAGTACTTTAGGGTTGATTGTCATTTTATGTTATGAATAACCTTTTGTTTCTAGCTAACTGTTGCTTTAATGTATTAAAATATTCAAAAGATTCTGGTGAGCTGCTGCTTGTACAACTTATGTCCGTATCTATATTCTTCTTTGTGCACACAGCTTGCAAGAGCATTCATCCTTGTAAGAAAGAGGGTAAAAGAGGGAGAATAGCCTGCTTACTAGGATTTTTGTTTGGGAGTTGGTGGTAGAATAGTGTGACTGTATCTTGTCTTCTTTCATGCTCTGTCTTGGAGGATGTTATTGCAGAGTTAAGGACAGAACTGTTCCAAAGTTGTATTGTTATAAGCCAGTTTTGCTAGAAGTACCTTTACTGGGTCAGTTGAAGTTCTTGCTCTGAACTTGTCTCTTAAGGAAAAATAAACTGCTAATTTATTTATTGTGAATGTGGAGGCTGTAGTACAGGTGTCTTCCTAAAGTTAGCAAATGTGTAAGTGTCTTAAAGTACAAGCTATCTTGCAAAACAGGAGTCTATGCAAAATTTTTCAGAAAATTTATGCTAAAGCTTTGATTGCGTGTGCCCCCCCCCCCCCCCCACAGGCCCCCCCCCCCCCCCCCAGTTTATGGATGTATGTGGAAAGTTGTAGGACCAGTATGTGTAAGAATGATAAGTACAATGGTTTTTTTAGCAGGTTACTCACTCTGGTTATTCACTAATGCTGTGTTCTCTTTCAGCATCATTATGGTGTCTGTAAGTGTTCTTCGTTATATACCTTGCATCTCTCTCGCACACATACATAGAGATATTTTTAAAAAAGGAGTATGTTGCAGCAGGAACTGTGGAGGAAGCTTGGCATGCTTGTCACAGAAATACTTTTCCAAATTTCATCATAATAAAAATAATGGAGGCTTCCACGCAGAGGCTGGAAGGTCTGTGTGTGCATGAGCATAAGGGGAGTGTTTGGTTCCTTCCCTGTTTAAGTTAGTGCCCCTGATTCTGCTTGTGGAACAGTCCTAGTGGATATCTGTATGTGAAAGATTCCTTCTACATATTTGTTTCTCTCTTTCATGTTAAGAACAACTTGATTCTTTCAACTAGAAAAAAGCCGCAGTCTGGCTGCCTACTAGCCCTTCCACATATAAATTTATGTACAGAAATGTTTCCGCAATTTGATTTTGTGTTGCTGTGAGCAAGGATAACCCCTCTATCGCTTATGCTGTGGTGGCAGGGGCAGGCCAAAAGCTGTGCTACTACACTGGTCTTCTCGGAAGAGTCCTAGGCTGTATCTACCTCAAACTGCTCTGAGCTGCCAAACTACTAATGAACAGTAGGCATGTTTTACTTTCAACTTGTAGCCCTCACAATAGGGTGTTTTAGTCCCATATTTAAAGGTAATTACAGGCATCAAAAAGTACGGTTGCTTTTCATTTGGTGAGCACTTCATGTATTTCATCTTCATTCTTCCCTCTGTCTTCAGGTTTTCTGTACAAATTGTGACATCTGCTAGTTCTTTAACATTTCCTTCATTCTTGAACTGGAGGTGGTGGGTATACTCGCTTCTTGATCTCTTTCTGTTTTCAACCAGAACTTGTAGGACTTTCATTGTGCTTACATAACCCATATGGCAGCACATGTTGAGCATGGTGGTTGTTCTGTGAAGAAACTTGCAAATGCAGAAGTGCACAGATCAGACCTTGAACTTAAAATGCCTTTGTGGCTCCCATGTTAGTACAAGTCTTCAGCTACCTATTTAGAGCAGCCAAAGTCTAGCAAACCTCTCAACCACAGGGACGTTTGCTGGATATAGTGGGGAAAAAAATATGACAGGACTGTATGTGGGCATCAGATTGTGTTAATGGGACAATGGGCCATTGGGATAAAGATGGCATCTTTTCTGCTCTGTATGGCATTTTGTTCTTGGGTCCTGTCCATGATTGGGAAATGTGCATGACTACTTAATGTCTGCAAACTCCTGATACAGAACTAGTGCATCTGCATAAATTGATACTGTTTGCACTGCTAGCTAGCACTCAGCAGTACTGGTCCACTTATGTGAGGGTTTATATCCGTAATCAGTCTCATCACAATTTTTTTTTTTAAGCATAAGTGAATGCTTAGTAACATAAGAATCTGAAGAAAAGTATCCTATACCAGAAATATTTTACATTTTCACTGTACAAGGTGCAGAGGCAGTAACAAATCTGTCTGAAGAGAACTTGTGGTCTTTAAATATATTTGTCATCTTGCAAATGGTGTGGGAAAGTTTGTTGAGAAGACAGATGTAAGAAATTTGTCCTCTGGATTCGTCAAGTGACTGTAATCACTAATGATTCGAATTTTGTCTTGAACATTGCATGTGTAATACACCAATAGTTGTTGCTTGATCTAGGAAATGTGCAAAAGACTATGTTCTGTAGGCATACAAGACTGGAAGACTACAGATACTGTAAAATTGAGTTCTCTACTAATTGTCTGAGAAATGAATTAAGTGAATTACTCAGTTACAGAATTAAATTCTTATACCTAAACATGCAATCTATAGTATTTTTCTCAATCTGAAAACCCTTAATTGTTTAGGAGCTGGCTCTTTGAATGTTTGCATCTTCCTGCCATGGTGATTGAGGCCAGCTAGGACTATTAGCTAGTTTTCCCTTAATCTGAGTAGATGCAGGGTTTCTCACTGAAGGCCTTTTACTTTAGTATTTATATTTTCAAGTGGCATGCTTAGGAAAGGTGTTGATAATCTGCCTTGGTGAGGTTTGGATTTGAAAATACTTGTTTGTAGGTCTTTAAACTTCTGTGACCAAAATAAGGCAAGCTGTGAAATGTATTTATCTGAAAATACATGTTTTGTGATTAACAGGTGTTCAGTTTTGGGAGATTATTTTTTGGCATTTATAATTGTCCTTAAGTAGGAAAGGTAAGGTAAAAGAAATATGACCTAAAGTAATTACGGTGGAAGCAAGGGTAAGGATTAGAGATTGGAAAACCTGAGATGACAAGGGAAAAGGATTAAGGAAGAAGACCAACCTGCTGTGCTTTTGCCAGAAATGCTCCTGAGTTTATTTATAAACTCCCAAATTCTCAAATGCTATAGGCTTAATTGAAAAAATACATTTTAAAAGTAACTTTTTTTTTTAGTGATGTATATATGTATTTTTGTTTTTCAGACTCTCAGTGTGCAGTCTTCAACAAATGGTCAGTTTGTGTCTCCCAGTGATATTCAGTTGAAATGTAATTATTGCAAAAGTTCTTTTTGTTCGAAGCCAGAAGTACTGGAATGGGAGGTAAGGGTGTTTTTGGTGTTAGTTTTAGAATGATGAAGTGTTTAAAAGTTTAAACCTGTAACTCCAAATACAGTTTTTCTAGATAGGTATTTTATAAGGTATTGAAGCTTAAAAAATTAAGTTAATAAAATTTACCTGGTTCTGTAGAATATAATATAATTTAACTTTGATATGGATAAAAGCAGTTGTCTTTGTTCATAAATAACAAATAAAAAAGCATCTGGAATTTAAAGAAAAATGTAATTTCTCAGATCAGCTGTAAGTTTGAAATCTGCTTTTGTCTTCAGTTATTTTATGACTGTAGATATGACAGAGTGTTGTTACACTTCTCTATGATCTGAGAGAAGTATCTGAAGAGGATATGCTAAGATTGATTGGCATATTTTCTGTTTAGCATTTTCATATGAAATGATGAGTATTTGTAGCACTCACTGTCAGCTTGAGTGAGAGTTGTTAATTTTCAGCATTAGAAGTCATATACCAATTGTGTGTTTGCACTTCTGTTTACTTTGCATGTTAATGTTGTGTCTTGATGGCAAACTATTATTTAAAGTTGCACTATCCAGACCTTAAGATTTTATCCATTAACCCTATTTGTGATGCTTTGCAACTTTGCATTTAGAACAAAGTGTATCAGTTCTGCAGCAGAGCATGTTCTGATGATTATAAGAAACTGCACTGCATAGTTACATACTGTGAATACTGTCAAGAAGAGAAAACGCTGCATGAGACGGTGAATTTCTCTGGCATCAAAAGACCCTTTTGTAGTGAAGGTATGTATGTATCTGATTTTTTTCCTAAAGTATTGGTCGTTGTAGTTTTACTGCAGTTGACTTACTATGTTAATATTTAATGCTAAAATTTAAGGTAACGACTCATTCTGTTGTACTTGAGGCTAAACCAGCAGTTTCTTCATTAATAATAATGAAGCGCATGTACCTGCTAATTTATATGAGCTGCTTTTACGGTCTTTTGTTGAGTTTTTCACCACTTAGTCCAGGTTAAGGAAGAGTGGGCAACACTCTTAAGTGTGTGTGTATATATATATATACATACACATGCATATATACATATGTACAAAAAATCATACATAAATTCGTTTTTTGAAATTTATGCAGCAGAGCCTATACCAACACTAACTGCATTGAGGAATACCAAGCTTTCTCTTTGATTAGTATTTTCAAAAGTTAATACAACAGTGGAAATTCTGTGTTGGCTTAGAGTGGTTATTCAATCAATAACTCGAATGATGCCTGTTGATGTATGTTGATTACTGTCATAATTTTCCTGGCTAATGATTTGGATTTTCAAGAAGAAAACAAACTAAAAAGGAGGTATATGGGCATAGGATTCTTTTAAGTTGCATTAAAATATTGTTTTAATACAAACAGCAAAATACAGTCTTAACAAAAACCTATCCTTTCCACTTCTGGTGAGCTGTCCTTCAATACTGGTATTTAATCCTGATCTTAGAAGTTTAACTACAAGTTTGGATGACCTATCTCTATAGAGGATATAGTGAATATTTCTTTTTCTTTAGTTATAATAATAATGCTTTCACTATCATTTGATAAACATTGCTGAAGATCTCTGCTTTCAAGCAGATTAAACAGCAAATGTGCCAATTTACTTGTAGCAGGATCCTGTTAAACTGGAGAGGGCTGGAGTGTGGGGCTGGAGGCAGCCTTCCCTCCATGCCATTCCCTTATAGCTCTGGACTCTGCAGTCTTTTGTTTCTGATGAAAGGAGCATGGTGTCTTAGGTTTCTTTGCTATCATTACTTTATTCTTGTGTTCTGGACTGCAGAGCGATAGCTGGAGAGGAAAAAAGGTCAAAGCAAGGCCCAATTTTACAGTGTATCATTGCAGTGCTCAGCAGCATCTAGCTAGAAATTGTTTCTGTGCATAAAACAATTCCACAGAATATATTCAAAGACAAGAGCATTTTTTTTTTTTTCCTGGAGATCATAGTATATGCTGGTATTACTGTGAATACTTAAAACTTCCTCAGTTTAAAGCCTGGTGGCTGTCATAATGAAATCAGTAAGATTCATAATGCGAGCTATGCCATATTACTTCTTCCATAGATATATTTCTGTATGAGGACACTTGAAATAAGTGAGGAATTGCATTTTCTATTAGAGAGTTTGAGGAAGGAAAGAGATAAGTAAGCATTATCTTGCTTATCGCGGTCAAGCATTGGAACAGGCTGCCTAGAGGGGTGGTGGAGTCACCATCCCTGGAGGTGTTCAAAAAATGTGTAGACGTGGCACTCTGGGACATGGTTTAGTAGGCATGGTGGTGTTGGGTTGACGGTTGGACAAGATGATCTTAGAGGTCCTTTCCAAGCTTAACGATTCTATTCTGTTCTATAAAAACACTCTCTCCTGCATGAAAACAGTTACTAAATGGGGGGGGAATCCATTGCCGCACGTCTTAGTGTGGGTCCGGAGTTTGCATGTGTTGGGACTGCCATCTTGAGAGTAAAGATGATCTTTATGAGCATGAATATGCCAAATGTTACCACTAAAACAAAGTTTATTGGCTTACTGTGATGATCTCAGCCACTGAGTAATAGAGAGAATGTAGTCAAAAGCGCCATTAAGTAGAATGTAACTTGAATAAATATGGCATATATCTGCTAGCTGTAGCTTAGGTCTACTTTGATGCATATGATGCATATGAAAAAAGCTGTTTGTGTTACCCAATGAAAAATAAACTGCTGATCGTGACAGAAGCTCTGTAGAAACAACCTAGGCCCTGTATCTTAAAGGAAAACCGACAGTTGTTATTGATTGCCACAGAAATAGTGGAATCCAAGAGTTAACAGTGTTTAGATCTGATGTGGGGAGGAGTGGGCCAGGTCTTTAGATGGACTGAGTGGAGGTCAACAAATAGAAGTTTCATCATCAGAGGTGATAGATTTCTCTTCCCCTTTTTCCAGGCACTCGAACACCACCAGTTTTTCCCTGATGTCATAGCCTTTTTCCAGAAATATGTCCAACTCTTTGTAAAGTAGAAAAACTAGTAGATGTACCACATAAACTGGTGGATATGGAGGCCATGCTGGTTTTGATATTGCAAAGTGTTCAAGAAACTTCAATACAGATTATTTTTTTGAGTATGCAATTATTCTTCACCAGAAGACAATGTATTATGATTTGAGAAGAAATAACCTAAGGTGCTGAGTCACAAAAGTTATTGGCATTTTTGGAAGAAATTGAACTCTCAAGGGAAAATACTGGAAAATTTCAGGTGTGTGTTTATAAAAGAAGGCTCCTAGATAAAATCAACAGAATTTAAACAGGTGTTGAAATTTCTGCAAGAGTGCTTATTTGTTCGTCTTCAAGCAAACTGATGGGAAAACATATATAAGATCAACTGCGAATACCCCTTGACTGCTTATGCCTGCCTAGCTGGAGTACTGAAGATGTCATCATTCATCTGCTCATGTTCTTCTTCATACCTGAGTTTTTTTTACACATGCACATAACGTATATATTTACACGCAAACCCTGGCACCCACATTAAAGTCTCTGGGAACAGTATTTCTGTGCAGCTTCATTCCAACTCTGTTTCTTTATACGTTTCTCTTGAGAGATTTAAAAAATATGTGCAGTGACCAGCTGAAACTTCCATTGCAGTAAGCTGTAATTAGAACTGACCTGTCATTTGTGCTAAAGATGGTTATTAATTCTTTCATGGAGTGCAGTATGCTTTTTCTGTTTCTGTCCAAAACTCGGATGCTATGTGGAGGATGAACAACCTGAACGGACTAGTTGAAAGAGTTTAATCTGTTCCCCCAGTACTCAGGTTTCAGAAACTAAACTGTCCTGCTGTTTGCCACTAGAATGCTCATTCCAAAATACCAGTATCTGAATTAAATGTGTATTGTATATGCTAAAGAAAGAAGATCAGAGTTGCTTGTGGATTTTTATGTATGCGTAGTTGCATGAGTGACAGTTGAGGATAGGCTGTGCAAGCTTTTAATCCTGAGGAAATCTTCAAGTTTCTGAGTTTTGAGGTTTTTTAATATATATCCCTTCTGAGGGTCTAGGAGAACAAATCAGTCTTTGGCAATCCAGCAATGGAACTATTTTATGATGAGTATCACCATAACTTTTTTTACTTGTAGACTTATTTTGCATTTAATTCATCTTTTCAATAGAACTAAGTGTTACAATTTAAATAACACAGGCTTTGTAATAATTTCATAACGTGAATTTTAATAACACTGATTCATATCCAGTAGTCTCCTCCTTGGAAGGATAAGGTCAGTAAGCTGTGGAGTAACTCAGTTATCTGATGCTTGGGAGTTCTTTTCAAATGGATAATACAGATAAAAGACAGCTATGAAACTAGCAACTGTAGTACTGTCTTGATAGTATGCTAATAAGTTTCTGGGAATTATGGATTCTGCAAATTAAACTCAATGTAGATAATTCTGATGTTTCATCTAAGTAGAGATAACCCCTTTTGAAATACTGTAGAGCTGACAAGTGGAAAAAAGAAATTTAGGAAATTAAGTGATTTCAGAACTGAGTATGTCTAGGAAAGATGTATATTTAGTTAAAACATTGTAGATTTTAGAGTGGCATTTTTCCAACCACTGCTGTGCAGTGGATTGTTCAGTAAAGTATACTATTAAATGTTTAGATGATTAATTTTTAGATTTATATCATAACATTACAGCCATTGGGAATAGCCTAAGTGTGTTAAATTTTATACAGGTGCTTACATATGAAAGTTTCACAACCAATTAAGATATTACTTGGAATTTGTAGCAATTGCTGTTGTTACTAGAAACACTAGCAAACTGGTTTCAAAACTGATGTGTGATATGAAGTGTTGCTAAGACTTACTTAGAGTTGCTGGGCTTCTCCGGTAGGTGGAGAAATGCGCTGGGGAAAGTTGGGATGGGGGCCCCACTGCGCTGGGCTGCTGTGTCCCCCCTAGGCGAAGGGGGTTGCCATCAAGCCTGCTTGAACCTCTTCATTCCTGATTATTGGTTTCGTTACTGTTAAACGTGAGAGCTACTGCAACTGTTTAAACACAGCTTTTTTTTATTGCTTGCATTATCAACTATATTTTTAGAGACACTGATACACCTTTTAGAAATAAAATGTACAGAATTTGGGCTGGCATAAAGAAATTTTTGAAGACAGTAGTGAAGCTCCCATTTTAATGAAAAATTTTATGGCATAATTACAACTTCCTAACTTCATGCTACTTTGCAGTAGGACCTCATAAAGCTATCAAGGATTGGTAAGTAGTATAGAATGTAGTTAGAGGGAGGAAAAAAGGTGATATTTAATATATGTAAAATTTCATATCACAGATAAGTGTTTTGCATAATAAAAATCTTCTGTTACAAGCTCTCAGGTTCGTGCTTCACAGAGCTGTTATCTCCCTCTCTGCAGCTCTGACAGTGGCCTACCATGTTAAAATAACTTCTGCTTGCTATGGTGCCTTTTCACCTTTAGCTTACCATGTTAGACAATTTGATTTTGCTTCTGACCACTTCTTTTGGCAGTGTCCCTCTGAGATAAATTCTAACCTGAAATATCAGCTTCCTTGTGGCTTTCCTTTGAAGGTTTAGTTGGTGCTGAGTTGGAATATCCTGGCAAAAAGGGACAAATGAAAAGCAAAACATGTTTTAAATACTGTAAAATGTATGACCCATAAAAGTGCCCTTTCACAATTGCAAGAGTCCATGTTGTTATTGAGGGAAGGTATTCCTTTTCCACAAATCAGCTTAGTAGAAAAGTGGACGT